GGGATGGCTCTGTGTCCCCGTGGGCAGCACACAGGGGATGTAAGGAGGAGTTGTAGGCTGCCAGGGAAGGGGAGTGTGTACAGCCTGAGGAGGTGGCTCCAGGGACAGCCCAGCCCCTCCAGATCCTCTGGGAGATGTCCAGGGTGGTGGCTAGAGGCTCACGTTCTCCACCAGGAGCTGTTGTGGGTGCAGGAGGGTGCTGCTGGTTTGGGGATGGGCACAAAGGACCAACTCAGTCCCCAGAAGCCTGGCCCTAGCAGTTCCTTCCTTTGGAGGCAAGCCCTGGATTTTTCCTCTTATATTTAATCCCAGATCATTCCTGAGGTTGCTCTTACTGCCAGCCTCATTGATTTTGGAGCAGGATTTCCCCCTGAGCTGTCGTCTGTAGCCCCCACCCCCTCCCTGCTGCCCAAACTCCCCTTCCAGGCTCCAGGTGGGAGGCGATTCCAGCTGCCCCAGCCCCTCGGTGATGGCATTTCCCATCTCTTCCCCAGGTGGTTTTGGTTCCACGTGGGCCAGACGCTGTTCCACGTGGTGCAGGTGGTGCTGGGCTATATGGTGATGCTGGCTGTCATGTCCTACAACGCCTGGATCTTCCTGGGGGCCATCGCGGGCTCCACCCTGGGCTACTTCATGGTGTACCCCCTGCTGGGCCGGGGCTAGAGCCCCCAGGGTGGTGGCACATGTGTCCCACCTCCTGCTCTTTGTCTGGAAAAGCTGCTGTCACTTCTGCTGGGTCTGCCTCTGTCCCCGAGCTCTGTGGGATGCAGAACCCCAAGGACTTGCTGGGGGCCCTTGGGGCTGGCCCCGCTCTGGGGACGGGGAGCCCATGGCCAGCACTCGCCACGCTGCCACTGGCCTCGGCTGGTGGCTGTCCCCGGCTCTCAGGGACCTTTGTCCGGGTGGTGACAGTGGGGAGGTGCTGGCATTTCCTCCCCTCCCTGCTTTTGGAGGAGGTTCATCCTGGCTGGAACGGGAACGATCCGGTGACTTGCTGGGGGAGGGGACATGCTGGGGACAAGGACCCCTGCCCTCCTGCCCAGAGCTGCTCTGTACCAAGCCCCTCTTCACACAGTGCCTTTGGGGACACCGGGGGGTCCTGCCACCCCCACCCCGCTCCTGCGCAGCGCTTCAGGGATGGGGCTGGAGCAGCCCCTGAGCCGCTGCTGTGGCTGTGCCAGGGGGGAAATGCTGCTCCAGGTGCCTCTTGCTGCTTCCTCAGGACACCCCTTTACTAAAAACCATCTCAGCTCTGCTCCTGGTTCATGTCACTGCTGGGTGGGCTCAGGATGTGACACCCCTGGGTCACAGTGGGACTGGGGAGCCCCAGCCCTGCCCAGGGAGGCGGTTCAGGAATAAGGAGAGTCTCCTCTGGCTTTAAATAAAGCTTTTCCATTTTATTAATTATTATAAGCATATCTTTAAACATTTGTATAACTTTCTTAATAAAATATCCTGGAAGAGACAGGTTTGAAGTTCACAGAGAAAGGCACTTTGAGGGGGGCCTCCCAAGGCACTTTGGGGGCCCCCCAAGTGGGTTAGGCTGGGCACCCCCCTTCTGAGGCAGGAACGGTGGCACAGGTGGGTGTCAGGGTGCTGGTCCCTGCTCCAGGTGGCACACCCAGGAGTCCTGCAGACCCCCAGCACCTCCAGGGCTTTCGGCATCACTGTGGGGGCTGCAGCATAGCAGTCCTGGCCCCACGACACACGGCGGGGGGGTCAGCAAACCCCTGCTCTTTGCTCAGCCATCACAGCAGATGCCAAAATCTGCAAAGCTGGAGAAACCATCCGTGGAAGGTGCTGAGATCTGGAGGGCAAGGGCTGTGATCTCTCCACTGCACAGCAAGCTGAGCCTGGCATTATCCCAGTCCTGCCAGGCTCAGCTGGGACACGGCATGAGTGCCACCTTCCCCCAGAGACTGAACTCTGAACTTAAAATAGCTCCTAGAATAGCTCCTAGGGATGAGGATGGCTGGGGGTGGGCTCTAGGTACTGTGAGCCCAGCCTGGGTAGCTGGAGTTCAGCCTGCATGCTGTGAGCTCAGTCTGGGTATCAGATTACTATGAGCTCAGTCTGGATGCTGTGATCTCAGTCTGGATGCTGTGATCTCAGTCTGGATGCTGTGATCTCAGTCTGGATGCTGTGAGCCCAGCCTGGATGCTGTGAACCCAGCCTGGATGCTGTGAACCCAGCCTGGATGCTGTGAGCCCAGTCTGGATGCTGTGAGCCCAGCCTGGGTGCTGTGAGCCCAGTCTGGATGCTGTGATCTCAGTCTGGATGCTGTGAGCCCAGCCTGGATGTTGTGAGCCCAGTCTGGATGCTGTGAGCCCAGCCTGGGTGCTGTGATCTCAGTCTGGGTGCTGTGAGCCCAGTCTGGATGCTGTGAGCCCAGTCTGGGTATCAGGTTACCAGGAGCCCAGTCTGGATGGTGTGAGCCCAACCTGGGTGCTGTGAGCTCCACCTGGGTGCTGTGAGCCCAGTCTGGGCACCAGCAGCCCACACTTGTCCCAGTGCTCTCCCCCTCAGCAGTGGCTCAAATCCCCCAGCTGTCCCTGTTGTGTCCCTGTTTGCCATCATCCCCTGCAGCTCCTGCTCCCACTGGTGCTCCTGGAGCTGGCCGGGGTGGGTGGCAGTGGGCAGGCTCCAAGGAAATGCCCCAGACTGGGGCAGGGACAACCCCGGGGACAGCCAGGAGTGTCCTGCACACCCACCCTCAGCAGGGCTAGTGCCAGCCCCCCCCAGCACCCCAGGCACTGACGTGGGGGGCAGATAAAGCTCTTCAGTAAAGCATCTCCTCAGCAGGAAAGAAAATAAGGCAGAAGAAGGACAGAGCAGAGCGCAGGGGATGCCCCATGCGGGGGCTGTGGCTGTGGGCAGCCCCCACGGCAGCGGGACCCCCGTTAGGCAGTAAGGTCTCGGTGTCCCCGTCCCCTCCCTCTCCCGCAGTGCTGCTCTCCATCCCAGGGGTCCTCTCCCCCTCCCCCAGCCCCAGCCTCACCAGGGCCAGTCCTTGGTGGGGGGCTGGGGCTAGAACTCAGTCTGCACCCCCTCACCGCTCTCTGTGGTGCCCCGGGGCTGTGGGGGGCCGCGCTCCCCATGCTGGCCTGTCTCCTTGTCACTGCGCTGGTGACAGGCTGCCGATGGGCTCTGGGCTCCGGGTGGTGCTGCTGTGACGTGGGGCACGCTGGCCTCTGTTGGGACATCGGCTTGGGGGCTGGGTGGTGCTGCTGTGGCGTGTGGCACGCTGGACACTGATGATGGGTCAGCTCTGGGCACGGGGGAAGCTGGCACCGATGATCTTGGTGTGACGTGTGGCACCTCAGCCCCTGATGGGACATCAGCTCCAGACATGGGGGAAGCTGGCACCGATGATCTTGGTGTGACGTGTGGCACCTCAGCCCCTGATGGGGCATCAGCTCTGGGCACAGGTGATGCTGGTCCAGGACGTTGTCTTCCAGTCCCTGATGGGACCTCAGCTCCAGGGACAGGTGACGATGCTGGTGTGGCACGCTGTCCCCCTGATGACACCTCAGCTCCAGGCACAGGCGGTGCTGGTGCAGCCCGGCGTGTCCCAGCTCCTGACAGGACCTCGGCCCCAGGGACAGGGGACGATGCTGGTGTGACACGTTCTCTCCCAGTCCCTGGTGGGATCTC